TAAAACTTGGCCCTCGCCTTAATGCACACTCTCTAAGCTTGTGGTGTAGCGACGACGGAACCCGCCACCACTACCATCTCATCTCATATCTCTCTGTGTTTCTCTTTTAGCCCCTCTTTGAGTCTTAGCCACACACAAAGCTTGGCGGGCTGGTTTAGATTTGATGGGCTCACCGGAAAAAAAAAATAATAATAAATAAAATAAAATAAAAAATTAAACATTCACGAAAAGAAAGACAATTGGCAATGAACAGTACCTGTTGAGAATTTCCATTTTCTAAAGATTCTACAGATGGTTTTGGGTTCATGGCTGAAAAGGGGTGGTAGAGAACTTGAGATTTGAGAAGGAAATGAGCAAACCCAAACAAGTGATTGGTAGGGAAGAAAAATAATGAGCCAATATATAAAGAAAGGAAATGAGTGACTGGTCGGCGAGTAGACCCAAACAAGTGATTGGCCAGTGAGCAAAAGGACTCTCGGCAATGGCCTGCGACTGTGAGGAAGAAATACAGCGGTGGCTCGGAACGACTGTAGAACTGAATCGTTGTGGATGACTCGTGGCGGCTGCCGCTGTAGATGAACTGTGGCAGTGCCCGGTAAGACGGATCTAGCTTTTGCGACGGCGTCTTGTGCACGCCGAAGTGGAGATGGGCTGGCTGTGACGGCGATAGGCTGGTTGCAGTTTCAATTGTGAGCTTGTGAATAATGGATGTGAGCTCCGCTTTAATAGAGGTGTACAGAAGAGGCCATTGGGGAGATACGCCGCCTAGATTCGAGATACGGGGAAAAAGAGCCGTGTGTGGTTGGGGACGTTCGACACGGCAGAGGAGGCGGCAAGGGCGTACGATGCCGCCCTTGCCGCCGTGAGGGAGTTTTGCGGCAACAAAGCCAGGACTAATTTCTCGGGGTTTTCACCGGCGCTGATGGTTGATTCGTCACCGTTGGATCTCAATCTCTCTCACGGTGCCGGAGGCGTAGCTCGATTTGGCTCCCCCATGAGGTTTCCGTTTTTGCAGCAGTAATTTCATGTTTCTTCGGTTACCGAAATTTTGCGACTAGCAAGTCAGGTTGTCTATTTTGACCAGATCCTGCGGCCTGAGAGGATGAGGGTAATTTGGTTATTTAATGTGGCCAAAGGGTAAACATGTACTTTTATCATGTTTGGGGGTGTCATTGTTCAAGTTTGCAAATTTAGGGAGTGTCATTGTCCAAAAGTTGCTTAAGTTATATATGGTTGTCTTTTAAGCAAACCTGATGGGGTGTCACTGCAAATTGCCCTAACCATTATTAAAAAATTTCAAATTTTAAACATGTGTCTAAATTGTATTAGACCATGTCAGCTGGGAAGATTAAGTTCATTCTCCCATGGAGAACCCAAGTATTGTCTTTTATAAATATTTGCACAAATCTCTCTTAAAATTATAAATTTTTGCACATTATCCCTAGAAATTACTCATAAAATTTATTCCTTGAACTTTGAAAATTTTGTAATAAGATTAACTAGCATTATCTGGTTGTTAAATGCATATTTGATATTATAAAATTATCTTTAAAGATTCCACCATGGGAAACATGCCATTTTTAACATGTTGATATTATAAAATTACCTTTAAAAATTAACCATAGAACATATACAGTCTTGTAGTTTTTAACTTGTTGATATTATAAAATTAGTCCTGTAGTTTTTAACTTGCTGATATTATAAAATTACCCGTAAAGATTAACCATCGGACATATGCAGTCCTTCCGTCTCATATACAGAGGACATTTACCTAAAATATATAATAAAACTATTTATTAGGGATTTAAATCCTATCCAGCAGGATCTCCCCAATGTTTCCATAGAATTAGATCTTAGAGATGAGATAAAATCACTACATTTAGTAACTCACCCAAGTAACAAAATTATTATTTTCTTCCTTTTTTATACATGCTCTTTGCATGCTCCTCTTCTTTGGTTGAGAGGATAGATCATACCATTAAAATTAGTGGTCAATTCTAAAATTCTTATTTTTTGATGAAATGCAAGGGCTGTATAAAATTGAAGCTTTGAAATTAAAATTAGTGAAATTAGAGAAAATTTTAATTGAATTTTGTAAATTATTTTTCTCCAATTTCACCAATTTCAATTTCAAAATTCCAATTACATTCAGTAATAAATTTCTTATTTTTTTTGATGAAATTGTATCTTATAAAATTTTGATTTTCTAGGATGCCCATCTGTTAAAAAAAGGTTTAGTCTCTATTTAATTATTCTCTTATTTTTGTTCAAGTGAGAGCCTCGTCAAAGCCTTGATTCCTGTTAAGTTATGTTTACACTACAATTTCCATTACCAGCTTAAAAGAGAAAATGCTTGGACAATCCTCTCATGGTGGGTTTCACATGAGAATAATGGGATTGGACATATTGATAAGTATTAAAAAGTGTGCATTTAAACCCTTAATCTTGAGTATATTAGGATCTTATTCTATCTTATTTTCCTGTTTTAGTCTTATATTACGTTTTTCCCCTTTTCAGGTTCTTAATCCCAAAATGAGCTAAATCAGCTAAATTAGAGCATTGGAGAAGGCAATCCAAAGTCTAGTGGAAAGATGGAGCAAAATGGAAGCAAAAAGATAAAATATGTCTCCGTTCGATCAATCGAACCTTGCTGTGATCGATCACACTGTAATCGTTCCAAACCTTCCATGATAGATCGAGCCTTTGTCCTTATCCTTAGGAAAATTTCCCCTTCGATCGATCCAACATTTCTTCGATCGATCGAACCTTTTGATCTTATCCTCATAACCACTTTTGTCATTTTCCTCATAAATATCTCAGCCTTTGTCCTTATCCAAATAAATGCGCCGCCATACTTCGATTGATCGAAGCAACAGTGTAATCGATTGAAATGCCTCAAAAATCGTGCAAAACAGAATTCAAGCCTAATTGAAGGTGTGCTCGTGGTGCAATCATTTTGGAGATCTTAGTGCACAAGGTCTGACCATTTGGGGTGTCATTTGAGCTACCTATATAGGGAATTAACCATTTTTGGTAAAGAGGTTGGTTAGTTGGACATTTTTGTCAAGAGATTAGATACTTTGGGAAACTCTCTTTCTAAGAAGGAGATGAATTCAACCATGAAGATAGCCCTTGAGGGTTGCAAGACCACATCTATGAGTAGCTAGATCATCTTCTTGGGGCTAGGAGAAGCCTTAAGCTTGCACTCTTAAACTCTAGTTCTTTGACCTATTTGGGAATTTTTGTTGTAAATAATGTATTGACCTTGTGATTAAATAAATCTTGTGTTTGTATGAATTAATTCTTTCAATTAATCTTCTAATTTTATTTACATGTCTATGTGTGATGAAATGGATGGTTTTGTCTCTACACTAGATTCTCTAAATTTAATGCATATGTATGTGTGTTTGAATTGTGAATCTAGTGATAGTCATGCATAATGTTTATTGGTTATACTTATGATTGATTTGATAGGTCATACTCATGCTTAATGGATTGTTCTATAATCTTAGTTAATTAGTTTAATTTCCTTGTCATTAGTTTAATTGTAATGTAATTGCATTTAATTTCCTAGATAGGTAGACAATCCATGCTTATATTTGATGATTCATGTTTTTTGTTACAAGATGTACATTTCTCTATATTGTTGTGTACTACAATTGTAGGTTTATTGAATGGTTAATGCCTTCACTTGATGGGTTGTGCTGCACACTAGCCTAAGTAGACAATTCACACTTGTTTAGTCATCTATGCTCATTGTTTTAATTGTTAGCACACACTTGGTTTGCAATATTTAATTTCTCCAAATTTGTCAAAGACTAGTTACTTAGAGGAAGATCTTAGTGGTGATTCCTATGTCCTAAGACCTCTCTCCTATTCTCTCACCTTAATTATCTTTTACTTCTTTTGCATGTTTCTTAGTACAATTATAGTATAAACAAAATCAAACCCCTCTTTTGATCATTCGATCTACTAATTCGAATTTAATTCTAAAATACGCTTGCGGTCTCTTGGGATGATCCATTATCACTTCATACTACATAGTATAAATTTTTAAATGTGGTAACCGTTTTCACATCTTTTTAGCACTTGACTTCACTCCATACGACATATGAACACTTTGAAATAGAATCTTACTCAAAATTAGCCAAAAGTCAAACAATTTTCCCGAAAATTGTGACACTTGATAACACTACAGGCAAAAGTTTTTGATTAATCTTGAAACATTAATTCGGAGGGATACAAAGTGTAAAAATACCTCTATAGCAAAATTTCTCCAAAAATCAAATACTATCAAATTATTATTATTTTTTTTTTCATAACAAGAATATTAGAAGTTAGTGAGAGAGGGGAAAGGGTGCAAGGTTGGACCCTACTAAGATGAATTTGGTTGTCTATTAGTTTAGGACGGATATACGGATATGATCAAATAACTAAAAAATTCGAAGTCAATTTGGAACGGAAATAGATTTATTACTGAACCCATCCCGTCCTAATTATATATGTACTTTTAAAAATTTTATAAATATATAAATTATATATTTAAATTTTTTTTGACCTTGTTAATGTTCATTCATATATTAAATATTTATTACTTAATAATTTAAAAATTAGGCGCCCAATTTTTTATTAGGTTGAATTAATTTTATTTTACTAAATAATAAAAATAACATAATCCGCCTCACAATTAAACACAGTATGCAGAACAAAGTCTAATTTGTTTGCGGAATAAGAACAGAAATGGTGCACCAATTATAAACTCCTGCCGGAATAAAACCCCGAAAGGTATACCAATTATAAACCGAATTAAAAGTAAAGTTGGTATAAACAAAGTGGAGTGGGTACCAAGAATTTTCTAATAGATAGTCTAACGAGGCAAATCACAGTTTAGCCAAACCCGCCCAGTGCCATCCCAGCTTCCCAACACAGGAACTCCGATCCCTCTCAAGCAACACAGCACTTGCAAGTTGCAACCACATACTACCACAAGAACACAAAGATTAACACTACATAAAGAAAGATTACATTATAATTCAAAGACTTGTTTAATTACATCACTACAAAACGGGAAAAGAAAAAACACATAACTAGCAAGTTCTCCCATGGTCAAGCATAGAAAAAAACCACCAGCAGACCACGAGATGTTACATATTAACATAAACTGCCTAAACCTTCTCTACCACTAACTCAACTTGACTCACCTCTGCAAATGTCAAAAAACCCATATTGCAGAAGCTACTTGGAGACCCCAAACAAGACCTAAAATTACAAACTACTAAACCTCAAAAGTACTGGAAAACAAAAAAAAAAAAAAAAAAAAACACAGAAGATTACATCAAACTACAGAGCTGCCCAATCTATCTCCACTGAAGGATACTTCGACAACAAGAACATCTCCGATTCGTCAAACGAATTGTCTAAGAAGTCGAGGAAGGTGATATCGGACTCCGGTGAGGACCCGCCGGATGATTCATCGGACGAGCACGAGGCCTCCACCTTAACGTCTCCCGTTACAGGGTACGCACACTCACTGTTCGACGAAATGTCTGAGACATTTTCCACCTGTGGGTCAGACGCTGAGACCGAATCCGTCGTCGTCGACTTCGAATTCCCCTGTTTCTGCGAATTGGCTAGGTTCTGGCAAATTGCTTGGAGCTTGGCGTCAACGGAGGAATGCAGAGGCTTGCAATTGGCCAACTGATGGCCTCCTTGATGGCGAAGATTCGGAAAGTTGAGCCTCGCAAAGTCTCCCCTGAGCTTAAAAGCAGCCAAGTCATAGGCCAAAGCTGCTTCTTCAGCTGTATCGAATGTCCCAAGCCAAAGCCTGGTTCGATTCTTGGGGAGTCTGATCTCCGCAACCCATTTGCCCCAATGTCGCTGTCTCACTCCCCGGTAAAGCTTAGCCGGCTTCGCCGGAGCACCAACGTGCTTCATCGGAACAGGTTTCGGGCCAAGGAAGCTCAGAGATTGCTGCTTTTCTTGCAATTGCCTCTGGGTTTGGGTTTGGGTTTGGAGTGAAGCAATGTATTGCTGCTGTTGTTGGAGTTGGAATTGAGCTTGGATTTGAAGGATCTGAGATGGGGTGAGTTGGTTGAGTCCAATTGAGCCTGTTTGGTCCATAACCATTTGGTCAAAACTCGAGAAACCTTGAGAAAACATGTGGGTCGTCGATGGTGATGAGCCAAATTCAGGGTACATGACAGGCTCCGAAGGGTAAAAAGTAGGAGAGAGGGAGGAGGTAGAGAGAGAAAGAGAAGGAGATGAAGGCGAAGAAGAAGAATAAGAAGTTAGGGAAGAAGTAGTGGGTGATGATGAAGCACCTTTCATAAAAGGTTTCAGTGCCATCATCAGCTCTTGATCTGAGAAATCCGATAAAATCTGACTGCTGCTGCTGCTGTATAAATCTATAGCTGCTGCCATTTTCTTCTCAACCAAACAAAGGTTAACAACAAAATTATATATATATATATATATATATATATATATATATAAAGAGCAAAGAGATCTAAACAAGAAAACTCTTAAAAACAAACCCGTTTCTTGTATCAAAACTAAAAGAAAACAGGAAATTTTTTCTACAAACAAGGATCAAAGAGGTGTTAAAATAAAGAACCCTTTAAAATCCTTAAAGATCTGAAACTAAAAAGACCAAAATCAACCTGAGGAACAGATAAAACAAGCCCTCTTAGTTGTTTTGATCAAATTAAAACTAGAGAACTATATACCAAAAAAAAAAAACGGATCTCTATTCTGAATCAACTGACTTTCAAAAACACCCTTTTGGGTTGATTTCTTTTTGGATTAAAATGAGTTCGAAATCAAGAAAACAAACCCTGAAATTGAAATTTTGAAAGACAGATTAATTACAGAAAGGGATCAGAGAAGCGGGGATGTTGAGAGAGGGGGGGAGAGAGAGAAGATGATAAGTATTCACTCAGTATTTTGTGGCCTCACTTTGTGTTTTTCACTCTTGCATTTTTTCGATCACCCATCTGTGTGTTTAAATAAAGGCCATGGGGGAACGGTTCTCTCTCTCTTCATCTCTCAAACTTTCTCTCTCTAACCCACCTTTTTTCTTCACTTAATTATTACGCTTTCTCTCTCCAACTCTCAATAACTGTTGCCCAATAGGACAGTGACACGTGAATGTGCGTCGGACTGATCAAGTGGAGTGGATTCATACGTGGCGACAAGTCATTGGCATCAGCATTCGGTTGACTATTTCAGACTTTTGCACGCCTTTGTTTTTAACGCCTCGATTTGATAAAAAATGATGACCAACTGTATAAAACTGGACCGTTGGATTTCGGAAAGGGAGGGTCCGGATTGAAGATGAGAACGTCATTTTGTGGGTCCAGGTAAAGGCAATGTTACTGAGACGTAGAGTAATGTCTCTCCAAGTTTTGGTATCATTCTTATCCTCGTTAACACCCACCCAATCAGGTATTGAGACAATTAATTGCACACATGAGAAAACAAATGTGTGGGACCCAACTCTTGGAAGTTTGTTAAAATTTCAAAACCTTTTAATCAGACCATGGTTAGCTTGATACTAGACCACAGTTACCATGACGGCATGGTCAAGTCGTGGCTAACAGCTGGTGTGTGACCAGACTAATACAGTAGTATCCTTTTACCGGGACCACTAATAGTATCCTTTTACCGGGAAAAAAAGAAAAATAAAAAATGAGTTTGTAAATTTTTTAACTAAATAAATTAAGATTTACTTAGCATAAAATATAATTCTTTGAAAACAGATTATTTTTTCACTTTTCAAAAAAAAAAAAAAAAAAAAAAAAATGAATCAATACTAGCATGACATGATAAAATGTATTTAATTAAAAAAAATCAAATTTTATATCATAAGCATCATTTATAAGAATTATTAATACAAAAATTAATTTTTTATTATTATTATTTTTGTATAATTTCTATAAATAAAATCTAGCAATATTTCTTTATCAGTAAAACATAAAAATAAACTATCACATCGAAATATTTATCTCAGTAATAGTCATATTGAAATACTTATCTTAATATTGATTAGTATTTAAATTTTCTTTTTTTTCATTTATTCTGTATAATTCAATCACAATAAAATTAACCTAATTCACTTTGAATATGGTTCAACGATTTATTTACTGAACTTTGAAACTCAATAAGTTTAAAATTTTAAATTCGAGTTTGTCTAGTGTTTTTTGTGATTAATCTCTGCATAACTTAATTTAAAGATTCATTATTATCAGATATTTTTAATTTTAAAAAAAAAAAAATCGAAAAAACAAAAACAAAATTAACCGAATAAATGTGCTGCACAAACTACTGTGTGTTCAGCACAAACATGTGAGACGTCCGGGTTGAGTGGGACATGCCATCGTGAATTCCGGCACAAGACCTAGAGAGAGAAAGGGACATCATATATGGGGGTTCTAGGAGCTCGTGAAGGGGCAGTTGAGTTGAGCACGGAAATCAATGCAGTTAACCAACCAACCAACTAGCTAAAGGTTGAGTTAATTAACCCTAGTTAATGTCGGTCGAAGTTAATTACGTAGTAGGTTAGGTAAAGACACCTTGGACAACTGGACAAGGGGGAGTCTAGAGAAGCTTGGCCGCTTGGGGGTGGAGTTAGGGTTAAATTTTAACTATGGTTGAGAGTTGAGTTAGTTGAAGTCAATGACGTTGAGGCATGGGAGTGAGTGATGTGCCGAAGTTGCGTGAGAAAGAAGCGAGAGAGAATCAAATTTCTATAGTGGGGTCCACTTGGCGCCGGAGTATGGGCCTAATTTGACGCGCTTACACGTCGTCTCCTACGTGGACTTCACTTACAAGCGACGCAAAGCATCCGCCGTAATTCCTCCTCCTTTCCCTCCCTAAGAACCCGTTTGGTAGAAAGAATATGAAAGGAAAAGAAAATGCATGGCAACGAGTTAAGAGTTAAACCATTCTTATTAACGAATGTTACTTTTATGTTCCAAGCATGTTTTTATTATCACATTTTGCACATATTTTTACTTATATTTTTATTATTTATAACTTAATTTTGTCATTTTTACATTACTTTTTTGAATTCATTTAAACCCTGTGTTTTATGTAAGTTAGACAACGAAAAAAATGAGAAATTGTGTTCGAAAGAAAAGAAAAATAAAATATTTGAAGGGATACATTAAGGTGTAAATAGTAATTTTTGTTAACATAAATAAAAAATAATAATGTAATAAAACAAAAAATCTATGAATAAGGGTAAAGAGTATAATTAAAATTTATTAAAATAGTTTTTTTTTTTCATTTTTTGACAAATATAATTACTATTCTATTTATTAATCAATTAAATACAATAAATAATTAATTAATTAATATATCCTCTCATCTCAATTTTTTTTCTTTCAATTAATGTTATCAATTTTTTTTATTTTTCACACTGTACCAAACAGATCCTAAATTTCTCTCTCTATAATGAATCCATACAGAGGTCTGTGTGTGTGTATATATATATATATAGATCGAATTGCAGATTCTAATGTGAACATGTGGTTTGGGATATAGAGTCTCGATAACAGTGAAGATTCTTGATGAAATATCAGCTAGTGGAGGTTTCATCTATGGAAGCTGACATTGTCTTTTTAACGTACCAAAACAATTTCATTTTTGGATCGACATTAATAATGTCACATCTATTATTGTGTGAATAAAATTCTTATTTATTTTGAAAATACAACATACATTACCCCAATAATACAAAACCTATTATTTCAAAAACAATAATTATATTAAGAACTCAAAATAAAGGATTGTTTACATCGAGGATTTAAATCTTTCTTCTGCACAAGACTTTCTATCGAAATATTTAGGTTTTAAATGTCATAATTCGTATCTCAGGCATATGATTTAAACAGAATCCAAATAGAATAAAATATACATATTTGAGTTTAGATCTCGAAAAATATTTAATTTACTTTTATACCTCTTGTCAATAAATATTTAATATTTTCTATTTACAATAAATGGTGAGTAGATATTATTGAACCTCTCTCCACAAATGGTCCAAAATGTTTCACACAAAATATTCCTATTATTACTTTTGACTCACATTTTTTCAAAAAGTGACTATCACTCTAATAACTTGGAATTAATAATATTGATGTTTTAATGAATCAATTTCTATTTACAATTTAATAAATAGTGTCTAACAAAGGCTCTTATAAGTATAAGATGAATGACGCATTAATTTATAATAACATTTACTCATTCTGTCTCAAAATTTTTGGATTCTTTGAGGAATTGACTTTTTATGGTGGTGAGTTTGATAAGAGTAAAATTTTAAATTTATTTTTATTAAAAGACAAAATAATATTAGTAATTAGTGCACTTATTTAGTTTGAAAATGTTATAAAAAAAATAATATATCCATTTTTGGAGTGAGACATTCCAAAAATAAAAAAATAGGCAAATTTTAGAAAGTTGAAGGTATAATAACAACAAAGCAAGACTTTTATCTCTCATTTTTCAAATAAATAAGTGAGAAAATATTAAGTGTTGATTAGTGGGAATGTTTCTTGCAAATGAGACAAATTTGCATTGGAAATAGTCATAATTATATAATTACGTGGCACAATTATCACTAATCTGTAGTTAATGAGACGGATTAGGCGTTAGCTAATCACGTGGATTCTTCATAATTTGCGGCATCATGTGCCTCTAGATTCCTTCAAATGTCCACTAACATAAAAATGATTAATACGTTTTTTTTTTTCTTTTTTTTTTTTTTCTTTTTTTTTTTGTCTTTTTTAGTGACAATGACAAAAACACTTTTAGAACTTGATTCTCTCTTCTTTATCAATTAGGAATATGAATGTAATTTTATTTTAAAAGAAGAGTGAAATTACAGAAAAGGGAGTGTAAATTTCGCATCTCATAAAATTTACAAGTAAGTTCAACAATTTAATTTTCTTCCTTTTTTCGTTCTATTTTTAGAAAAAAAAATATATTAATTTTCTTCCTTTTTTCTTTCATTTTTTTTTTTTTTTTTAATAATTGAAGAGGTTTTATTTCACTAACATGTATGGATTCACGTGGACGACCACACCTAACCAACAATAATTCAGAGAGGCCTCCTTCCTCACACACACACACACACAATTGGGATGAGTTCAATTCAAACTTGTATAGTTTTCATTTGACTAGTCAAGTTGAAAAGCCACATTGTGGCATGTCACATGTTAAAAATATTTGAATGGACAAAAATAATTTCAGCTCGTGGTTGTGGAAAATTTGGGCCTTTTTAATTTCTCATTTTATAAATATTTGTCAATTTTCAGTTCCAAAATTACAAAACTTTACAAAATCTATGCTTATTTCAGTTTTTTGTTTTTTAAAAATTTAGTTATAAAAAAATCTATTTTACCGAACTATCTTGAATAATTCTTCAAAATAGTTTTTTATTTTATGAATTCTTAAGAACGACTTATTTTTATTTTTTTACTCTTTTTCAAGTTTTAATTCATGAAAAATTATTCATATGATTGTCATAAGACTTCCTATTTGTAAAACTACTTCGTAGTAGTTTTACTGAATTTTCTAATAAATTAATAAATTCTAAACACAAAAAACAATGCATAAGATACATTATATCATTGTCAATGCTAAAATGCTCTCTCAAAAAAAAAAAAAAAAAAAAATCAATATTAGATAGTCAAAGAGAATGATTTAGTTTGATAATATAATAATAATAATAATAATAATAAATTAAAAAAAAAAAAAAAAAAAAAAGGTCAAAAGAAAGAGTAGAATTTTTTTTTAAACTAATTCTTATCATCTAACCTTAAATCAATTTGTATGGTTTAAATGTTAGACGTTTTAGTTTCAATATATATTGCTTAATGAATTATATCAACCATTCAATTAGTTGACCGTCAAAATAGTCAACTTTGAGCACTTAAAAATGAACGGCCACGACGTTCACAATTGGCAATTCCGAGCACTACAATTGAATCTATTTTTAGCTGTCATACACGAATGAGACTTCTTATTTCAATGCAATATTATAAATATATAATCCCCCAAAAAAACAAAGGAAAATAATAATAAAAAAGAGGAACATATACAGCTCAAGTCAACCAAAAAAAATAATATAATGAAACGGGTATAATTTTTTTTTTTTTTTTAATTAAATTCAACGGTATACCACTAGCAACATGACACAAGCAATGTGCGTCTAAGGATTTAAAATTGTTTTCTCCATTTGAAAGTTATGAAATTCAAAACTGAATTCTATAATAATTTTTTATTATAATAATTCTATGCATACGCAATTGAAAATTTGTTTATGATTTTATTGCCTCTATTTTTAAATGGAAAGGTTGAAGATAACATCAGTTAACTCCTCTATTTTGAATATTCGTGTTAAAAAATTTGAAAATATTCAACAAAAATACAATTTCAAGACTCTAATCAATGAAATCTGACCGCAATGCATGTGTGACGTTTCACATCATCTGAAAGGAGATGTTTTTTAAAAACTATGAGTATGGAAAGTGTGCAAAGTGAATAATGTCTACATAACGGTTCAGGTCGTAACAGAAATAGTATCAAAGCTAATTCCAAGCTGAGAATGGGGAGCATGCACAAATACATGAAAGTCAAGTCATCGAATACGCTGAGTCGCAACTCGCAACTCGCAAGATGGGTGATTGTGAAAATTGTTGACACTCACGTGTATGGATACTTCTAATTTATGTAGTCGCATTTTAAAAATTAAAGTAAAGAATTTGTAAAGTAAACAATATCTAAATAACATAGCAAAATAGTATGTCATGTACAAAATTAGTGAGTATTAACCGTTGGGTCAATTTGATTATGGATAAATCTTTTCAGGTCAAAACAGATTGGCCCAAATATTTTAAAATAATGTGTCAATCCGCCCATTTAACCTTAATAAATGTGTTAATCCGCCCATTTAACCTTGCTACATCCGCCCATAATCATCCACAAAGATGCTTCTATAGCTATTTTTGACATTTAAAAGAAATGGGATTAGGATTGGGTTCTTTTCAATGTCAATAAAAATATAAAATATATATAAAAATAGCAAGTTCTGAACACTCTTGTCCTTTCATATATTATTGTCAATATAGAAAGGTTTGAGTCCTCACAATTATTGTCTCATCTTAATAGCCAATGATACACTGAATTGGTGGATCATTTGTCAAACCTTCGGCCCCAGATGCCTCACCACTTTGGACAATGAAATATATATATATATGTGTTATCCAATGTAAAATTTGTTCATAATTTTATAGCATATAATATTAAGCTGATTGTAAACACTTCTATTAGCATAATCAAAACATAAGACAATTTTTCAAAACAGCCGTTGTTTTCACATTCAGCGCACTCCCCGCTCTCACCTCCAATATATATAACTTAAATTCTCTCGTTTTCTCTTATTGCCTACGAACAGATATCTATATAACTCATCACGTCATCTCTCTTCACAAGGAAAAGATGAATTTATGAGTTCGGGATGACATGCTGGATCATTCATGTTCATATTATGAAGCAAATAATTACTAAAATATAAAATAAAAAATAAAAATAAAAACTGGGAACAATTTAGACTATGGACTCCAATTTACGGGCACTGGATTCAAGTATGAAGACAAGTTTGGGAACCAACGGAAGCAATCATGAAAATTTACTGAACATGGAGTAATTGGAAAGAACTTCACATTGATGATAGAACCCCTAGGTTACCAACTTTCACTGCAAAAATAAATAAATAAATAAAAATTAGAGGCTGAAACAATTTTCTAACAAATTTCCCATCGAGAGGGTTCCCCAATTCCGGAAAAATAAAAAATAAAATAAAATAAAAAATAAAAAAATAAATTAGAGGCCAAAGATGTGCCTCACTACTTTTTCAGAATCGGGAATCCTTCCCACCACTAATCCTTTTGACTTATGATGGTAAGGTAAACTTCGGATATGTGTAATCATCCGCAAACCACACAAATCATCTAAACCCAAATCTTGTTGGGTCTTGTGAGAATTGAACCCAAGACATCTGAGTTTACAACTCGCCTGAGTAACCCCTAATTCACCCGTTCGAGTTTTGTTTAGTTGATTTATGATTAAATAGCCCAAAACAACTAAACTACTAGAACAAAAACTAGCAATATGAAGGAAAAATTAATGCAATGGCATGACAATCATTTTACAATGGAAAGTTACTTGAGAAGAGAAAAACCATAGGGAAAAAATATGAAAAAAAAATAAAAAAATAAATAATTATTATGGGGAAAAAAAGGTGTACAAGAAGTCTTTCTCAAGAAAAACATGGGGTGGTACAACATAAAGTTGAACAAGCAATAAATTTCTTTAATGGAGCTTCTTTCCAATTCAAAGAAGTGGAGAAATGTCATCCACGTCTGTTTTGGAATAGACTGCATCAAAACCAATGATACAACCAAACCCCCATATGGAGTAGATAAAAATTGACAAAAGCCAACCCCACGTCTCTACATCTGCAGCCCTATAATTCAAGGTCGAGTAAACTATAAAACATGCATGTATGATGAACACTGAGAGAAGAGTGTGCAAAGCAAATAAATATCTAAACTGGTTTTGGGCAGGTCGTGACAAAGTCACTCCAACATGTCTTATCACTTGGTTTTAGGCGAAACATGAGAAATTAGACCAACTACATGCATGTATGATTTTGTGGTTCTGGAATCCAAAATGAGACATAAGCCAAACCTTACCGACTCATAAACAACATGAACAATTACAAGATCGCAACTACCTCTAGGGTTATCTCCTTTGATGTCAATCGATTTAGATCAAACTTCAAGGTCACATCTTTTTCAAGGATAAGGTTCCTTCCCAGCCAATTGACCTGCATTTACTGCCCTAAGCAGTGCAAATGAAACTAAACTGAATTGACTCAACAAAACCGGCATTTTTATGGTTCTGCTAACCCATAAGCTTAAACTTTTTCTTGACGTGACGTGTCAGGCCTTCAATGCACCTAACTTCATTCAAGGGAAGGGAGAAACCTCACAACATATATAGTTCAAGTGTACCACTGTTACATTAGACACTGTTTTAACTAACCTAACATTGCATGCAGCATTATTTAAAAATTGCTTCTAAATAAAGAGCAAAAAAGATAAATTTCCAGTTTGATGAGTCTAAACCAGTGTTTTTTCTAAACCCCCCAACCAGCCTGAAAAGATAGACCAGTGTTTTTTTCTAAACACATAAATTAATTGTCTTGTATGCATTGGTCCTTAGTCATCTTGAACCTACAGGTCTTACAAGTCACTGGGATCATAATCTTGCAACCTACAGGTCTTACTGTCGAGAAAAAAACAAATCATATTCCAATAAAATCAAGCAAAATACTCAGTCTTTCTAGAGCACATTACATATAATTACATAATTAAGTTTAACAACTTCAATTGGCTGTAATTATCCATCAGTCTAGTCCTCGGTTTAACCCAAGTAAAAAGTTTGGAAAAGGTAAAGTGGTAGAGAGAATATCAATAAACAAAATACTAGATGAAAAAAGCACAATTTTTAATTTCGAAGTACACAAATATTGATCAGGCATCAGCCAAAATGACAATAGCACATATAATATATGCTGCTTATATTTTACATATGTGAGAACGGCAGAAATTTCAGGAGATCTTCTAATGGCAACAAGGTATAACTAGCAAACAAGTACAAACAAATCACTAAAATTAGGGTGGCTAAACATTCTTACTAACACTGCAAGCAGCAGAAGCACACTATTGTTTCTCCAAAGGCATCACATTAATCATCTCCAGTTCCGTCTTGCAATTCTCTCTCAGATCTTTTAGTGTGAGTAGACTGGCTTCCTGCACACAAATTCCAAAGCACTCATTTTATACAAGATAATACAAATTTCATAATTCAGTAAATCTGATATAGCAAACTTTGTTTGACCACAAGTAGCCAATAAAACCGCCAGGAAAGCTTCATTTGGAACAATCCTTAAAAAAATCCAAACATGTAACATATCAAGAGCTCACATGATTGATTTGTAAAAAATACTTCTGAATTCAGGTATCATATTAAGCATTGACTATGTATTTCTCAAAGCTATCTAATTGAATGCTAGAGATGAATATTTGAATATATTTGACTGATTCAAATGAACTGAGATGTTCGTGGACAGCATGATCTCCGCATGCCTGGTGGCTCATTCAGGCACTTTATTGAATGTACCAAGTTCAGACTAACCTTGAAGCTCACATATTAAATGAGCCAATCTTGAGCAAGACTGAGATAAGGGTTAAGCAAAAAGATAGGCTTTGTCCAAACACGCCCCTTGCACGACTAGTTTCTCCGTATGTGTATAACCAACATAACTTAGAACTAACGTAAAATATAATACTATCTGTATAAACTCCAACCAACTAGCCACCACTTTCAATCTTTAATTGAAATGTAGTGTATAATTGTGTGTACATATATAATATATATACTTAACATATATATATATATATATATCTAAAAGAGCAATCCTATGATGAGGATGCTCTCACTGTGAACTTGCACCTTCAGTCGTTAGATTGAAAGCGTGACCCGTTATGCTCTCAATCCAATGACTGAGGGTGCAAGCTAACATGAAAACACCCTCATCATACCTTTTTTATTATTATTATTATTATTATTTAAATTTTTTTAAAAAAAGGTTTCTTCTAGATATAGCTTTAAAACATTGAAAATTTTAAGAGTGAAGTGGAGGGAGAGTAACACACAAAGGGATATGCCAGGTAGCTCCTAATTTCAGTATTTAGTTAAAATGTAATCTTTTATGGATATAGCTTCGGTAAAAGGAAATTTATGAATATCATGACATTTATTTATTTCTTCAAGTCTGTGTCTCGCATGTCTAATGATTTCTCGAAATAAAATTAAAAAATTAGCACTTAGCAGCCCAATCTTGTATGATTCACGCAACTCTTCCTTCAAGATTTCTTACAACACAAATTCACAAATAGGGAGATGACAACCCTCCTTTGTCCGTTCACAAACATTTATTTTTCTTTCAATATAGAATAAGGTATATTGCAGAAATTAAGTGAAAGAGACTATGGAATCTTACAAGGGACCCTCTATCTAGTCCTATTGTTCTCTAACTTCTAACAAACTAGAACTCCTAATTTTTACTATTTTATTCTTACTGTATTAAATAGAAAATAAAAGTCCATAATTGCAAACATGTCGACCAACATATTTACAAACTAATACTCCCTCTGTCCCAAAATAAATGTCTCTTTTGAGAAACTGCCACAGTCATAGTTCCCCAAAAGAGACATTTATGTTGGGACAGAGGTAGTACTAGAGAATAAATATTTTACAAGTGAGTCCCTTTCTAGCACTTCTTTACTTACATATCATTCCACTTTTCTTTATTCAAATATAAACCACTATGAAAATAAATTTGTTTCACTGTCACCCGTCAAGACTTATATATAGTTTTAAATGGTTATTGAACTCATACAATGTTTCAATGCACAACCATATAATTTATATAATCTACTAATATATAATTCAACAACTATTGATGAACAATTCATCAGATCATATTGGCAAAATTTTATGAGTCTAATCCATTTAAGAATTATTGAAATAACATCTTTGTTCATTTAAACAAGTCTAGATTCCATGTTGAAGATCTACATGTACCTTATATTATATTACTGCAACCCAATTATGCCCGTATATAGCTCATAATTGAGTTGCGAATGAGCAATCTCAACATGAAATTGTAAAGGTTATACAATCTTCTCAGGTCTAAGGACCAATTTAAAATTCTTTCTTTTTTTTTTTTTTTGACAGTAATCATAATAGATAACTTGTTCTAGATCCAGTTCAGTACATATGCCTCTTTTTATGTATCCATAAATCTGCCTACAAAATTACTATTCCCATAGTTAAGACACACTATTACATTAATGTAGTACCGTGATATATGTTTCCAAGTGAGGTGTTCATCCCTTCATTCATGATTAAAAACAAAATGAAGTTTAAAAGGAATTGAAAAAAACTTTGCATTATCTTTATGATTCTCTAATAATAATTATAAATTTAAAACAGATTGCAATATAATAATAAAATTCATACTTAAATAAACCAATTAAACATTGGTTTTTGAGGGCATAAATATCTAACATTCAAAATATGGAAAGACGAGAGAGAAAAGTGGAGACAGTCCCTTGGGTGAGTAAACATTGGCTTTTGAGGGCATATATGTCTAACATTCAGAATATGGAAAGAAAAAAAAAAAAAAAAAAGAGATAGAGAGACTGAGAGAGAGATATTAAAGTATGATCATTGTCTTCTCTGACATCCAACTTTTAATGCTTCATACAGAACATTTCAAAACACAAGTGTCATGTGCTTTTTTTCAACATATCTTTTATTCTTGTGTCCTCTAATTCACTATTTTACTATTAAGTATTAATGTCTGAATCTAAGTGTAATAAATATACCGCCGAGTTATCAAATTTCATATTCTAGAGTTACGATTTGGATATGGAGAGAGATTTCTCAATATTTTCTAATATAAGATCCTGTTTCTAGTAAGAGACTACAGATTTGTAAATCTTAATATTTGAGAGGAAAATGTATGCTTAATACAATCTATAGGCTTTATTATAAAGTTAATTAACCTGAAAAATGTTTGATAAGAGATATCTAAATCATATAATATTATTTCAGCATATGTTAAATAACATTGCCATACTGAAAATTTTATGTTTCTGCCTAGAGATTTTTACATATTGTTTTAATGAAAGATCTGCCAATTCACGCTGGATATAACCTTCTCCTTCTTTCTCTATTTGCAATTGCCCACAAATTCCATGTTGTTAAAACAACTAAAACGACCTGAGGTTGAGCTCATTCGGACAACGGTAAGCGCCTGAATAACATTACTGAAGTTCGTCACGGAATGAGCCAGAACCGAGTTCATTTCAACATTTTCCAACTTAGCCCAAACAACACCAGATAAGCTTGTCATGAGAACAAGATGAACCTGAACATTACCATAACTACGCCTAGCTTAGCCTGAACACTCCAATACTCGGCTCAACTCAGGTTATTTGCAACAATAGTCGCAACTCAGAACCCCTTTACAGATTTCACCAATTAGAATTTTAGCTTTCCATCCCACGTTGAATTTTAAAGCTCTTTAAAACCAGGAAATATAACCATACCGTCTCTGCTAATTTTTGGTTTTACTAACAAATCCCTTATGGATACAGAAATGTCAAACTTCTAAATGTAAAACAATTTGTACTAAATATTCTAATGTCATAAAAAAGTTTCATGAAGAAACTGCTGTAATGTGAAAATGCAATATCTTGCAAAAGCAGTGGATAATCAAACATAATCACACAAGCACACAAAAGAGTGCTCAATAACTCAAATATGTTGGACTCTGGTTAGATGAGAAGTTCTTGAAACTTGAAGTTCAGAAATGAAACAAATTCCAACCTTTTTTGGACTTTGGATAGCAAGAAATGAAAGTTTTATATTGAGTCAATTACAATACTTTTTTGGACACAGCGCGGACACAGCTAATATAAATATAAATTTTCATTTATATATTGAGTAAGAAAATTATAAAATCTTAATTAATTTATATTTTTTATAGTAAAATTATATAAGCTAGAAGATGAAGCTATTCGAATATAAAATATATAATTATATATTGTATATCATATTACTTTCCTATCTTGTCACTATAGTTATGTTTTTGTTCATTGTATACGGTGACGTGTTTAATGTCAAATTTATTTTTTTTAAAAAAGAGGTTCAATACTTTGATGTATATACACTGCAATTTTATTCAATCTGTGCTATAATAAAAAAAGGCATGTGATTTTGATCCTTGATAGTTTTTTATTTATTTATTTATTTATTATTGCTTCCATAAGTTAGTCTTACCTATAGGTAGAGCAAAAAGGAGCTTCTAATGTCTTCTCTTTTCCTCATGAAATATTATAACAATAGTAACTTGTTTCCTACTAAAAAATAATAAGATTTTGTTTTCTTTAAAGTTGTGACAGCAAAACAAGTCAAACTGAATGTGCCGGACCGATTTCATGGATTGTACTAATTGTATGGAAGCACTACAGGATACTAAGGACATGTAAAACATAATCACTTCATTAATTAATTAATTTATACTTTTTATAATAAAATTATATAAGTTAGAAGATGAAGCTATTCGAATACAAAATATATATTGTATATCATATTACTCTCCTATCTTGTCACTATAGTTATGTTTTTGTTCATTGTATACGGTGACATGTGTTTAATGTCAAATTTATTTTTTTATTTAAAAAAAAAAAAAAAAAAAAAAAAGAGGTTCAATACTTTGATGTATGTTCATAATATTGTCTCCAGGACTGAGAAGAAAAAAAATATAGTGTCTAGACTGTCATGTGCTTGTTTTATATAAGAGAGTGTAGGATGTGTTGATCTACTGTACAAAATGTGTTGACCAAGTGTTTGAGATGCATCGGTGAACTGTCCAAGATCTGTCGGACAAAGCGTCCAAAATAATAAAAATTATTTTAAAATTTTGGACACTGCTATGAAGTGTCGGACACATGTCTAAGAGTGTCCATGAAGTTTCAGTGTCCAACATGGTGTCGGACGCAATCCCAACACCTTCATAGTAGTGTCCGTGCTTCTTAGGTGGTGAAGGACTTTAAGTCTTTGAGGCTCAACATTCTTCGCACTACAGAACATATGAAACAACTTCTGACTATTTCTAAACAAGATACACTGCAATTTTATTCAATCTGTGTTATAATAAAAAAAGGCATGTGATTTTGATCCTTGATAGTTATTTATTTATTTATTATTATTGCTTTCATAAGTTAGTCTTACCTATAGGTAAAGCAAAAAGGACCTTCTAATGTCTTCTCTTTTCCTCATGAAATATTGTTTCAATAGTAACTTGTTTGCAAATAAAAAATAATAAGACTTTGTTTTCTTTAAAGCTGTGACAGCAAAACAAGTCAAACTGAATGTGCCGGACCGATTTCATGCATTGTACTAATTGTATGGAAGCACTACAGGATACTAAGGAAATGTAAAACATAATCACTTCATTGGTTTAACCAGCAATTTTCCTATGAATGAAGAAACAAAATAATATCGTCATGTGATTCAAATGAGGCAATGACAGTCCTCCCAAGCTAAAGAGGACCTTAGAACTATATAAACCAAATTAAGTGAGAATCATTCAAATTATAAAATAATAATAAAAAAAATGGAGAATATAGAAGACAAAAGCTACACTTACAAGCTGGCTGCTTTCACGAACAAGTATATCCTCCATGTGAAGAAAGAGTGATCTCCACTGACCCATGAGATCGGATTCTAATTTAGAGAATTTATTGGAATTTCCTTGACCATGTCTGTCGATCCCTTTATCCCTGCAACTTCTGTGAACCAAAATGCCCGCTTCTTTCTGACTCTTCTTTAATGCTAGAGAAGTGTAAGATATAGTACAATAACAATATCATAATGAAGAAAGGGATATCAATCAATTCAAGCTAAGTATAAACATTTTGTTCACACTTACCAGCTATTCGGCCCTTCATATCCTGATAGTGGAGGTCTGACCAAATATAAGCAACTGATCATCACCAAATAAAACAACCCTTATCAGATCACGAGTATAACAAAAAATCAAGCCCACAGAAAAAAGAAAAAAAAAAAAAAAAAATACATCATCAGATCCCTGCAGTGTGACTAATGAACTCCAACAAAAGAAAAACCAAATTAACAATTTACAAGCATAGCTAGAAAAGATACCCTTTTTGCAAAAAGAACAGGAGCAAGCTTTGATCAAGTCAACACCCACACTTGAATTAGAGCTTCCGTCGCCCTTTATTCCAATGCATCTTTCTAATTCAAAGGATCTAGACTCCTGTGACATTGGCAGTCTTGAGCACTCGACAGACTCATATTCACTTGAGGCCAAATTATCAACACCCTGATCCCTGCTGTCGCTCCTGGAAACATGAGCATCTAAGTGTTCACTGTGGGGATCACTTTGTGCAACTTTACAAGTTTCTCTTCCTTCATCATGGTTGCCTTTCTCTTCAAGATCATAAGAATCGGTAGCATTTGATCCGGAACCCGTTGAAATTGAAATGCTAGAAACACAACCATGTTTTGAGGCATCACCAGCTTCCACAACATTGTCTGTGATGGAGTCCTTAACCTCACTGCGTATTTTCGAGATACCAGATACGATATTTCCCCTTAATGAATTAATCTCACTACAAGGCCGTGGCGAAACACAAGCTCTCTTACCCATTTGGTTGTCATCTACAACACAATTGCTCCTACATTTCTCGTTGACTACGTTATCCACCCCTAAACACACTTGATTTGCAAACTCCGAATCCCCTTCCTTATCGTCAACAATTTTATGAACCCCATCTCCAGATTTAATACCCGAATTGCCCGAAATTAACAGCAACCCCCTTTTCCCTGGCCGATTAGTTATATCACCCAAAACAGGTCGGTTTTTCTGAAACTCATCAGCAGAATTATCCCCACTCATCATATTAGTTATATGATACAAAAATTACAAATGCTATCAACCCAATCCTTTAAACCTTCAATGTATAATACGTATACACATAACCTAACCCTACTTCATAATTTCTCCAAAATCAGTAAAATCTCAACCCCCTGATCATGATACACACAAAAATCTCAGCTTAGCATATCATATGTGGAAAAAACTACATAAACACCAAAAATTTACCAACTAAACCATGAAATTAAAAACTCAAACAAAATTTTAAAAATATATATATAGAAAATTGGCCAAGTAGAGAAAGATAAAACCCTAAAAGGGTAAATCACAGCATTGAACGATTGAAACGGAAAATGGGTGTTGGATATATATCAATGTAGATGCTTATGACATGAAAATCTAAGGGCATAAAGAGATACTGACCTTAATTGAGGGAACAAGAGATTTTGCAAATCTATGGAGGTGCTTGTTTGGAGGGAAAGTGAAATGCAATAATCATGAAATCTGGGTCCACTTCCTATTAGTAGTATTATTAGGAAGCAAAACACCACCAAGACAAATTGCAAATGGAGAGTAGCGGCAGTGAGAGAGAGAGATCCAAAACAAGGCTTCAATAATTCGGGCGGGAAACGGATTTTTGGTCAGCCCGGACTTGGCCCCGCGTTCAATTTTCAAACTTCAAATATAAATTAGGGTACCCGCGCGCCCAGTTGGACCACACTGCACATGCACCACGTGTTCTCTGTGGAAAATGGACGAATTGCTCTATTTTTCTCTCGTTTTTTTGTTTTAAGTTTTTTTTTTTTTTTTTTTTATTCTTTTTCGAAAGTAAAAACAAACAAATACACAACCATTAGAGCAAATTATATTGACTTTCTCTGAAATTTGGGTAAATTATACACGGTGAAGTGTTTGGTTTTATTACTTTAACTTACCCTAAGATGTGTGTAATATCATCAAAGGACCTTTGGCCCAATGGTACAACCCCCATCTTCAAAGAAGAGGGGAGGGGTTCGAGTCTGGGCGTGGACTAAAAAGTGTATGTTTGTATCAAAAAAAAAAAAAAGAAATATGTGTGTAATATCCATTTTATTCTTGATATTTTAATACTCTAAAATAAAAAAAATCTTTTAATGTGAATACCTATTTATCCCACCACTAATAAACAATACTTTCCCTTGTCATTTCTCTTTCCTCCTCTACTTTCCCATTACCACCTATCGCCCGATCCACTCGAAGTACTTCCATTATTCAGACTACAACCTTCAATTTACAGGCACAACCACAATGTTGCAGATATGATTTTCCAGGTACACCTCCAACATGGTCTTGGATTGATTATTCATCAGCAGCGGCCAGGGGCGGACCTAGCTAGAACTTTTGAAAAATAAAAAAAAAATTACGTAAACAATAATATTTTATTATTTATTATATTCATACAAATATATATCTATCTAAACTTTTCTCAATTTATTTAAATAAAAAAAACAGTTATTTACAGAAATTTTTTATCAAACTTCTTAACAAACACAAGTAATATTTATGCCAAAATTATTTAAAAAATCAATTAAATAACTCTCTTTTTTTACTGAAAAGAAAAAAAAAAATAACTTTTTTTTAAAAAAAGTAACAATTGAAAATTTAACAAAACAATAACAATGATAAAAAAATAAAAATAAAAAATACAAACAAATTAATAAAATAAGAATTTTAGATTCTTAAATCATCGATTTTTGTTCTTATTCAAAACTTCAAATGAAATTTTTGTTCTAGTTTCTTATAGAATTCTTATAAAAGCATTCCAATAAAAATAAATAAAAAGAAAAAAAAAAAGTGATGGAAAGAATCATGTATGAGATGAAATTTTAGGATAATAAGATTATGGAAAGAATTGTGCTTGAGTTGAAAGGATTTTAAGATAGTCACATTATAGAAAGAACGGTGTTTGAATTGAAAATTTAAGATAGCCACATTAAATTTTTATTGGGGTTCGGTGTTTGTCAATTAAATTACTTTCTTTTAGATTATATATAAACTATCTTTTGTTAAATGTTAATTAAAGAAATAATTTTTTTTTTCTTAGGGGGGCCAAGTATAGATTTTGTACCATATATACTATAATATTTTATTTTTAGTATATTTTTACCCATACTAAAAAAAATTCCCGAAAAATTCCCCCCCCCCCCCCCCCCCGGCAGCGGCGACGACCCACCACAACCCTCCAACAAGTCGAACAGAGTCGAGTAGTAATGCAATGACTCGGTGAATCGGTCCAAGAAATATAGTTTGTTGTGGTTTGCTTCTTGCTCGACGACCGTCATTGTTTCCGGCTTTATCTCCTTCACACCAACAACACTTTCTGGATCGCACCGAGTTGGAGCCAATATTTGATGCAATTCGAACATCAAATTAACATAAAGTTTTTGATGATTTCGATTGAGTATAAAGATTAGAATGAAAACCTCATGGTTTGACGTTGATTTAGAATGTATTAAAGGATCCATTATAGGTATGATATATTAGGTTAATGTTTCGAATAGTTAATGGTGTCGCCTCGTGGGTGCACAAAATAGATGTATAAAATGTGACAATTGAGAACACCAACTTTTAAATTTATAAAAACCACTACACAACTATATGTGAATATAGCAAGTAAGGATCGTCCACTAGGATTATAGGCTTGGATTGAACTTAGTATTAATGAGTGTGATATTGAAAAGATGATGATTGGTTGATTAAACTAATGTTGGAATTCAATTAAATATAAATTGCAAATAAGATTATATGAAATGAATTTGGAGTAATGTAATGGTGTGAGACACTTAGGGCATGGATTTCACTACTAAACTTATGGAATTACATCAAATGCCTTCAACCAATGGGAAAAAATAAATTGTAATGAAAATGTGGCTACAAGCACACATCAATGATCAAGTAGATATTACAATTGCAATGAATAAGCTTGAACTATCAAATTCAAGTATGAATTATCTACCTAACTACCATTAATCTAAGATGTAGAACAACCCATCAAGACTAAGCATAATCCATCAAACTAAGAGCAAATGTATCCAATAAGAACAATGTATGGTCATCATTAAGCACAATTACAAAAAGTACTTAATGTAAAAATCAATCCTCAATCAACCACACATAAGATAACATATAATCAATTAGAAGATTCATTGAAAGAATTGTCAATATAAACCTTGGTACAACCAAGTTAGAATTCACAAGACCAAGCAAACACATATACAACTTTTAATTCCCTAAATTAAAAGACAAAGATACAATTACACAAGTTTATAACTCGTCCAAGCCCTAAGTGATGATTTAGTCGGACATAGATGCGATGGATGTGATCTTTATGGCCTCAATTCCCATCTCCATGCTTGGGTTCGTCTTCTTCTTCCTCTTTGGGAGTTAACCCCAAAGAGAGAAAGAAACCCCAGTTGTAGATCTAGAATTATCCCAATTCAATCCAAAGAATAATCAAGAACTTCCTTCAAATTAGACTATATCTTCTATTTATATGTGACTTTAAGGCTCCAATAATGGCCAGACCCCGTACACAAGGACACCTAATGGATTGCACCTCGAGCCCCCTTGAATCAAGGCTTAAAATCTGATTTTTGTAATTGCCAAGCCCGCTTGATCGATTAGGGTTCTTGCTCGATCATTCAGACTTGATCAATCAGAGTTCTTGCTCCATCGTTCAGGCTCGATCGATTAAAGTTCTTGCTCGATCCTCTTTTGCAACCTCTTTGTCCTTTTTGACCCTTGTCCTTTGTTGAAAGATCAAACAAGCTGTAATAACCTGGAATAAGTTTTGATTAGTCTTAATTGCTTGGAATCGAACATGAAACAAATTATTACTAAGATGGGAAAATAAAGATAGATTAAGGTTCTATTATACCCAAGATTAAGGGCTAAAAGGTGTATATTTCAACACTTATCGCACCCCCAAACTTAAATATTGCTAGTCCCTTAGAAATGAACAAAGAAGGAAATAAAAACAATTATACAACTAATTGAAATGAATCAATAAAATAATAAGAAGATAACACCATTTTCGTAGGGATCACTGTTGCATTTAGCATACGTAACAAGCCTTTTAAATCCTTAGGTTACCCCTAAAGGACGAGTGAAGTCTTGATAAGCGCTGAATACTGTATATTCAAGCGCCCTAAATTACATTAACGAAGTCTATTAATTGATTATTTTATGTAGATTAACTCCATTTGCATGTTTTTGTACATTTTCAGGTTAAAGTGCAAAAAGGAAGCAAAAATGATGCCTTGTGGAATTTTGAACAAAAAGGGTGCCAATTCTGAATTTCTGGCAGCAGTAGAACCTGACTTTTTGTCACCATTTTCGACCTAGCAAACTCAAGAACTGGACTTCCATCTTAACATGAAAGATTTAGAGCTCTGAATCAACTTTCCAAATCTTCAAGCGGTTTATCATTCGGAGTTTGGAGCAGAGAGTTATGATCTTCTTAACAGAGGTGCGCAGAACTGCCTGGCAGCACTAAGTACTGCCTTTCTCCCCATTTTCGACTAACCAGACTTGAGAATTGGGTCTTCATCAAAACATGAAGTTTTTAAAGCACTGAATCAGATCTCCAAATCTTCAAATAGATCATCATTCGGAGTTTGGGGCACACAGTTATAGCCGTGTTACCAAAGTAGGTCAGTGCTGAGCAAGAAGAGCATGTTGCACATTACACTAATTTAGAGTGCTCGAGACCACCCTTCGAGTGCTCGAAATTCTGGCAGATTGCACTCGGAAATGGCTCAATTTCAGCCACTTGCACATTGGTTTCCTCAATGCCATCTTCCTTCTTTATGAAGTGGTTGGAGGTGTTCCTTGGAGGAGAGAGAGTCTTGACTTGAGCTTGATAAGAGAGAGGGAGGCCACACATTTTACATTATCCTATATTCTAGCAAGATAGAGGAGAGAGAAGAGAGCAAGGAAGAGGGTGTTCTTGAGTGCTACAATAGGAGCACGAAAATGGAGTCTTGGATGGAGCTTCTTCCTTCTTCTAGCTTAGCAATGGGTAACTAACTCTTTCTCTAGGGAGGTGATGAAGTCCCTCCCTTGTAAGCATGTCCTAGGATAGTCTATTTTGGGGATTTTCCATGTATATTTTATGGTCTTTTCATAACCAAGAGCACCTCATTTGTTGTAATGAATGTTGATACATGTATGGATGATTCCTTTAAGTTGATTATCTTGTTTTAGATGATGTCTTAGAGTAATCATATTGCTTAAGTTTTCATGGTGAGAGTGGAAGCAAGGTTATGAAATGGTTTCATGGCATGTTGATAGGTGACTTTGATAGACCATTGCTTAGGAAATCCTTTGATGGTGTATGCTTAATCTCTAACTCCATGTGCTTTATCATTTT